CCTACACAATTATATTTTGCTCAGACCCATTTATTTCCCATTAGCTCTGTACACTGTGAGCATTCACCATCTGACAATAGACGGAGGTGATGGCAAAGCTGGTTAGGGAGCCAGCCTGCTAAGGAACATATGAGGAAACTGGGAAATGAAGCCAGTGAGCTTCCTGGAGTGATGGGTATCTTTCCCTTATCCCTAGGATGCTTTTTGTCAGTCTATTAAAATTGGGAGGGTAAAGAAACCGTTTGCTTTGACTGGTCCAGTGTGGACAATGCATGTATCAGCAGCTAAGAATAGGAAGAACCAACAGAGCCTGTGTGTCCTCTTCCACAGAATCCTGAGCTACAACCGGCTGCGATGCATCCCCATCCACTCCTTCAATGGGCTGCGGTCCCTCCGAGTGCTGTGAGTACCCCAGCGCGCTGATTTCTACTTATGCTTCGCTGGGTAACAGCAGGCAGGACTGAGCACTCCTGTTGCCTGCTCTTCCTTGCTCAAAGCCCACTCTGCCCGCCACGCGTCCCTCCCCTAACCCAACACTCTTAATTTGCTCAATGGGGCGGAGAGAGCTCATACTTAAGAGTCAGTCACTCCCTGCTCCAGCTCACTTCCTCTGTGCAACCTGGCACACATCACTAACTCCTCTGAGTTCCCACTTCTTTATGTGCAAAATGGGATCCATAGCACATCCCTTGCAAGGATTAGGATCTGCAATTCTATGCAATTATATTCTGCACCCTAGCAGAGCACACTGTGCAGCACTTGGCCGCTCTTCTGATGATCATTACATCACAGGTGGTCCCTCTGGCTTCAGAAGGGTGATGTTAACACTGTGAACCTCTGCAAGGAAACCAAGCTCATGCAGCGGAGAGCCCAAGCTGGAAGCCAGCGGCCAGGGCCGGCGCACACACGTAGCCATCCGTTCGCAACCGAGTCGACTCATAAAGCATCCTTAAAGTTTTAATAAGTTGCCAACATTTAAATATCAGGAGGTTTCTCATATAAATCCTGATTTCTACACTCTCTTGGAAAATGGAGAGACCTGGCCTCCCAGGGCTCCTCTCTGCATTCCT